TGCACCAATGGGCTGGACCCATGAAGACTGTGGAGTCAGCAGGGTTCGAGAATTATCTGCTCGAGCAAGAAGAGCAAGAGGGAGCTGTGGAGCGATTTATAGCTCATGTTTTATTTTTGGTTACGTATCACTATCCAACGGGCTTGCTAAAGACGGCTGCGGCGGACACCGACTCACAGCTCGAGTACGAAGATGAAGTCGCGTTCGAAAGCGATGGTGCGGCGTCAGGAGCGGCTGCTGGAGCAAAGACGGCGTCTGTGCAGTCGGCCACAGCAGTTAGTACTGGAAAGAGAAAGACAAGAGCAGTGGGCGGTGAGGCAACGTGGAGACGTACGGGTGAGTCACTGGTGGAAGTTCGACGACGACGACGACGAAATGAGGCCGGGCGCTACGTACTTGAGTACGAATTGCAGCCTGCGCGGCGAGACAAGCGGGCACTCGGAGATGCTGAGCACGCATGGGTCTCAGCTGCGGAGTACGACGAGCTGTTCATGGCCGACAGAGTCGTGGAAGACTCTGTGTTGGAGTAAGGCGTGTAACGGACCGTGCCGTGGTGTAGACCACAGCACAGCGGGTCCAGATGATGATGATGGAGCGCGGCAGAAGTGGCACGTGGCGTGCCAGAAGATCACCGCGTACAGAGACGTCGGGCTCTGTGAGGCAGCGCATGGCGCTGGAGGATGTCCAAATGAAGACCGTGACATTGAAGTGCAGTGCGTTCCTGCGCATCACGGGGGATCCAGTGCGCCAGGTGCTGAAAGGCGGTTTTGGCCGCTCACAAAATGATCTGCGCAGAGGAGAGCAAGTGGCTCTACTCAGTGGAGAGCAAAAGAATCGGCTCAGTAGAGAGCAAGTGAATCTGCACAGTGGAGAGCAAGTGGCTCTACTCGGTGGAGAGTAAACGAATCTGCTTGGTACTGAGCAAGTGTGTGTGCCCTGCGGAAGCGGGCATTGCGCGATCGAGAGGTCGCAAGAGTTGAGGCGAGGCGGCGTGTGCTGACGGGGAATTCAGCCCGTCGTTGAGCTTGTTGGTTGAGGCGAGGCGGCGCGGAACCCAGCCCGTCGTTGAGCTTGTTGGTGGTGGTGTGCATTGACAGGGAATCCAGTGTGCACTGCTTAAGTGCTGGGCGAGTACAAGGGCGGAGTGTGCACTGACGGGGAATCCAGCGTGCGCGCTGTCCAAGGGCGAGCCTGGTTGAGTGTGTAGGTTGCGTTAGCAAGTGGCTAAAGTAGCTTATTGATGATTAATAAAGTAGGAGCGGGCACAAGTGGTGAACGTTCCGGCGCAGGGTCAAGTGGATCCTGTCAGCCAGTTGTGTCTATTATTAAGTAAAGCTACGAAGTCTAAGTGAAAGCGGACGCCGTAGCGCAGCACTGTGAAGCAACGACTCGCCCCACGGCCGGACGAGATAATTGGCCCATTACAATGTATTCAATGCGTCACTCACAATTGAATGTCCTGCAATTTTGAAACGGCCCAGATCGTACCTAAGTACCCGCATATTGTACTTAAATGGTTTCCACTCATGTTAAGTCTATAGTAGCGTTCAATTGTGCGGTACAATTTCGAGTAGAACGCACAATACCCGATGGCTACTATTCTTCACTTCGCAATTAGACATGCCCTCACACTTTAGTGACGGCACAAATTTGGGATGATTGACAGATCTAAGGAAGAAGACCGGCTTTGAGTAGATTTCATCAAAGCATCCTAGTAGAGTCTGATGTGTGTCTGTCCGTCCGAGGATAGGACCAATTAAACCCACGATAAACGTGCGTTCTACTGGCTGCCGATCGCAGCGAAGGCGGCCCCATCGGCCAAAATCGACATAATGTGGTGAGCACACTATACATGTATGTGGTCTACATATCGTACTTAAGTGCACTGCTCATACTTATTTTTGCCACCACGTAGGCAATGGAGCGCCACGCCACGCAAAGGGCGCTGCCTGTGTGCGGGCTAGCTTGCATTGGTAGGCTGTACCTAGGTGCACACACCTATTTCATGTCCTTAGAAGCTGCTAATAAAACGTTCTAAAACGTTTTAGGTCCTAGGTCACGCATATTACGTCTTTAATAGTCACTGTAGTGCTTTTGCTAGAAATATAGTACTTATTATAACAATTGTGCTCAATTGAAAATTCGAGCTATTATGTTTACTTCGTAAGCTTTACTACTATTAATACTATTTAACGTTTACAACTGTAGTAATTGCCTTAGCAAATAGCCTAATCCAATTTTAGTAGTACTGACGTTTTAGCAGACATTTTTATAAAAATGTGTTAGCTACAATGATCGCAGCGAATGTACGATTTGACACTGCAGCCCCCCCCACTACCACCACCTAAAGACACACCTACGCACACACCACCGCCGCAGCAAAAATGATAGTTTTCCGTCAGCCATAATTGAGTGTGTACTTGCGCGCTTAGTTTGCGAACCTAAGAGATGTGCGCACTTTTCAACACGATATGTAGCGTACTTCAAACGCACTTGGAGCAGGTTTTGTGATTGCTTTAGCGGGGGAACTGAATGCCAGGAAGTCAGGTAAGAGCGCAAAACACGGACGGACACGGAGTTAGACTGTGTACACGATGGAATAAAAGCAGAAGCACCAAAGGCCACGGTCCACGAAAAAGGAATAAGCTAATGAAGGCCACAATATAAGATGGAAAACATGAACCACAGAAGAGCACGAAGCCGTGAAAACAGGGAAGGACACGAAGTGACGGTATCGGATGAGACTTGAAATAATGACACCCCAACATGCTGAAAAGCATGGACCACGGAAGAACACGCAAGCTCAAAACCACGGTAGAACACGTAACTATGAACGGAAATGGATTATATCATAGTACCACGGTAGAACACAGCGCACGGCCGACGGACCAAACGCGAAGTTGGGAGACCATACACGAGAAATCATCGAGCATTGGAAGACGATATCAGGGTAATGCCGAGCCACTGAGCACGATATTACAGTAGATCACGATAGATCGGACGACAGACCAACCGCGATATTACGAATTGACACCATAGCATGGAAGGTGGCCCAGCCACTAAACCATGGGAGAGCACACAGCCACGGGAGCTATAGACGCGAAATCATCGAGCCACGGAGCACGGCACCAGTGTAGAACCTGAGCTCACCAAACCACGAAGGACCATAGTACGATTGCATTGACCGCAGACCAGCCACAGAAGCAGGGGGGAGCGCTTCGGGAGACCACGATTGCACACGCGGAGCATTGTTGAACACGACATCACGGGCAACGCAGATACACTACGCGAGCACGATAGCATAGACAGCATAGCCACACCGCGATTGCACGATAGCACGATAACGCGGTCGATTGAGCCACGCCAGGAGAGCACGATACTCGGGCGATGGAACAAACCGACTACATGGAGTCGCCATAACCACGGAATAGCACCCTTCGACTAGAGTACCGACGATGGGAGGCCAGCGGCCACGAAATTCTATGTACCACAAAACCTGTGCAGCTCATGTAGACGTTTAAGAACAGGAAATCGCTAACATCCACGACAGAGGCCGTACTAAAGAGCATGAACCCAAAAGAGAGAGAGCGCATAACCACTAAGCAACGTGGACCACGGATGAGCAGGGAACCACGAAGCCAGGAAGGACACGGAATAGCACGGGCCACGAACATGACATCCAACATGTAGTACCGGGTAACGGAAGCGTACCAATATTGTACGGGGCCACATTATACAGCGGAATGGTAAGTGGTTTCAGTAGATGAAACCACAACACATACGAAACCTCGAAGTACAAGAGCCTAATCGAAACCACGCGGCACCACAAAGCTCGTAAAGCAGAGGAAAAACATGCCACCCCGCCGCGTAGCGGCGGCGAACTACTAGTCGAGCATATTATTCCAATATGCTCGGTTTGAAAAATAGACCGGTAGTTTTACAATAATGACAGCTGAAATTCCAAAATATTTACATGTGTAAAATAAGTGAGGCCGTGTTCGGTTTGCAGGTGCAACGGACGCTTGTTTGAAAATAAGCTAGAGCTGTAGAACAGTCGTTTTGTTAATTAAAATAAAGATAAAAATAAGTGATCGTGTTCCATCAGAAATAGGCTGAATTTGAAGGCGTCTGCGACCGCCAACCATTATACTCAGGTATACAAAGAAAAAAAGATCAATCATCAGGTAGACAGCGACCACGACGACGACGATGACCTGTGGCTCCTCCAAGCGCTTGCTAAAATGCAGGAGGCGGCAACTCAAAAGCAAATAGCACTCAAGGAGCCCATACCACGGCTATTGAGCACAGAGACCCCCCAGCCATTGTCGCCAGCCCTTTGACTTTACACCTCTGTCGCTTTTTAAGGAAGCATCGCTGCGCGCTGCAAGGTAGCACTTAAGCAGCGCCCTTTCATCCACACGCCTCCAGGTCGCCCTTTGTTTCTTCGTCTGCTGCTCCATCCGTTGGTTTTAGAACTACTGTCACTGTTTTAAGGGGCAAAGGAGGACGAATCAAAATTCAACCCAGAGCTGAATTTTGAAACCAGCTATCCTGCTGCTTAGCGTACATGTAATCAAGCTGGCTGAGACATTCCAGCTCTTTAATAACAATTACAGCTGGTTTTAGCTTAGATCGAACGCGGCCTGAGTTTTTCCCGAAGAACAAGCGAATGAGGTCCTTGGAACTACCCATTTTTGCGCTTCTGCTGCTGCTGCCGCTTGCTTCGACCACCACGTCCTCCTCCGTGTGGCAGCCCTCATTTCACCTCGCCGAAGTAAATCAGCAGCCAAATCCAGCGGTATCGCCCACCACCCCTGATGCAAATTCCAAGTACAACGAAAGCACGGCCCTGTACCTGGCGCATGTGACGTCGATCTCGTACTGCCAGGAACAGCACATTATCCACTGGAACTGTCAACCATGTGCGTTCGTTCCGTCACTAGAGGGCGTGAAAGTTGTAGAGGACGCCAAGGACAATTTCCAAGGCCTTGTGGGCTACTCGCAGCTCTATGACGCAGTGGTGGTTGCTTTCCGAGGCAGCATGGACGTCACCAATTGGCTGGACAACCTCACGTTCCTTAAGAGACGCACCTACGCGCAGTTCCCCAGTGTGAAGGTGCACCAGGGTTTCTATTGGGCCTATCGATCCGTCGCTCCACAAGTCGTGGACACGCTTCACAAGCTGCGGAAGGAACATCCACATGCATCACTGATGGTCACAGGCCACTCGTTGGGAGGAGCTGTCGCCGCGATCTGCGCCTTTGAGCTCGAATACATAGAACATATATCTGTGAATGCGTTGTACACCTTTGGGAAACCTCGAGTGGGCAATACAAATTTTAGTGGGAGGCTACGCAACGCCAGTATGGAAGTGTATCGCGTGACGCATTTTCAAGATGCAGTGCCGCACCTCCCGCCAACGTGGACAGGGTTTGAACACACGTCAGAAGAGGTGGCGTTTAATGCAACTTTTGGTTGGACAAGATTGAGCAGGACTGATGTATTACGTTTTTTTGTATTTGGTGCCCCTTAGATTTTCTACGACGAGTTCTCGGCCAGCTATCGCAACTGCAGTCAGACGGATGGCGAAGACCCGACGTGCTCCAATACGTGCTCACCATTCCGCTGCACCAGCATCGTCGACCACCTCACGTACTTAAACATTACCATGAGCCATCTTATCTGCTAAAAATCAATACTGCCGGGTACTTTTTTTCATCAGTCACAACATGAAGGTTCAACCGTACCCTTCCTGAGGAACAGTATGGATACGGTATTCCATTCCTGGAAGGCAAGAAAAAGGTGAATGAAGCCAGAAAATGCTATTTTCATCGAGCCCCGAAGACGATGGGAGGCTCGTAAGGACCCGCCCTCTTCTGGCCTACAAGCAAACCTGCCACTTTTACAATCGATCAAGTTGCGAACGGCAAAAAACTCGGTAGGCAGTTTTCATCATATCAAGCGCGCCTACATTGCTACCATGTCGATGCGAAAAGCTCCGGGGCTTCGACTGCAGACTGCGATCGTGCAAGACAACGTTCCAGTGGAAGTCGCCCCTGGCCTGTTCGTGGGCTCAATTCACGCTGCGTTCAACGTCGAAATACTCAAGTCACACAGGATCTCACACGTGCTCAACCTTGCGGGCAGTTATGCGACTTTCCCTGACGATTTCACTTACTTGAGTCTCAGTATACGCGATAAAGAGTACGCCAGTCTGCTGAGTTGTCTGCCGATTGCTGCAGTCTTCATCGACGCTGGACTAACGAACGGCGGTGTTCTGGTTCACTGCGCTGGAGGACGGTCGAGGTCTCCGGCCGTGGCGATGGCATTTCTCATGATGAAAGAGCAAGTATCCTACTCGGCGATTTTGGCGCACGTTAAGACACTGCGACCTGTTGTCAGCCTAAATGCTGGTTTCGAGGCTCAGCTCAAGTGTCTCGAGACTGCTCGCGGGAACGTGTTTCTAGCAAACCAGCATATTCTCCAAGCTCGATTGACTCGCTTAACCCAACAGCATGATAATGGCGAACTAGTTAACGGCGTAGCCAAGAAACACCGCCAACCATCGAACCAGTGTCCTCCGTTGTTGAAGAAAGAGTTCTCGATCGAGATGTTAGCGTCTGGATGTGACGATCGCGGTATGATAGGCGAGCGAGTGCCCAGTGGCTTTTGTCTCTCGACACCTCTAGCCTCAGGGTGCTTAAAAGAGACGACACGGCAGACGTCACCGTCCTCTTTTATTCCAGCTCTTCGCTCAATGGGAACCATGTTCGGCTGTCAGCAGTGCGGAGAACACTTGTTTTGTGCTGGTGCCGTTATTCATCACCAAGATATTTTTAAAGTAACCTGTCAGCCGCATGGCGGTCATAACACTCGCTTCCTAGGAGCTTTAAGAGGGCAGACTGTCATCGAATTCACAGACAACACAGTATCACACATCTCGGTCGGCGAGGAGCAAGTAGTCGCGACTATTACGAAGAAACCTCTGCTTTCCCAGCTACGATTGAGACCCCACAGTCCCAGTGTAACGATGGGAAATGGCTCGCGCACAGCCGGTACATCTTCAGGCAGGCAAAAGAATTCGTCGTCTGCCCTATCGATGCCGAATGTTGATTCTGAGAGTGTTCAAAATGGTGACGAAAATCCTGGAACTGGTTTGCCTCAGCCATTTCAAATTCTGCAGCCAGCCCGACGCCCCGCCACTGAAGAGAGCAAGCGAACAAGCACTGTGATTCCATCTCCGCATATAATAAATGGCGAGTCTAGAAAGAAATCTGGAAGTGGTTTGTGGCGCTCTCTTACTTATTTCAAAGGCACGAGGCGTGGCTTAAAAGCTGCATTTGAGGACAAGAAAGCGCATGGCCAGCTTCAAATTCGAACTGAATTATTGGAGCTCCACAAACCTGCAGTGTTAGCAACATCCCGAGCCGAGGATGCTAACCCCCCCGAGATTGGCCACACATCAGAACACTTGGGGTTCCTCAAACGGAATGCAATGGAGTGGAATCGGAATATTCAGCAGCTTGCCAACATTAGCAACAACGATTTATCGCAGACAAGTGGAGGGTCAATTGCCGACCAAATAGCAGCTCTGCTAGACGAAGATTCGACCTTTCTTACGACCTTAAGTGGCTGCAAACGGTGGTTTGTAGACCCTCAACTGTGGATGATTGATCAAGCAACTGCATGTCCAGAGGGAGAAATACGCTGTCCAAGAGAAACTTGTGGAGTCGTTGTGGGTGAGTGGCGATGGGAAGGATTGAGGTACGTACTGTACAAAGCTGCGTGGGTGTCCTCCTTACGTCAGAGCAGAAACATGCTAACTTTTTATCGTTTACAGATCTGATTGTGGAGGCAACATTGCCCCGGCCTTCGCAATGAAGAGAGATGCCGTGTGCATCCTGGGCAACATCACGTCCCAAGCAAAATAGCACCTACTTTTCGAAGTAACAAACAAAATTGAATAATAAAAAGCGAATTGGTAGTCTTCTCAGTATCTCTTTCTTGTTCGTTCATTCACAACACTTAGCAATTGTAAAGTGCACCATCTCGCTGGAGTTGTCCAGAGCTTGCGTGCCATCGTCATAGGTTACCTTTGCTTGCTGGTGTGGTTTAATCGGAGACTCATGCACACGGGAAACCGTCTTCGAATGAGAAATTCGTGGGGGTAGTTTACTATTAGTAAGTGGAAGTAGCATGCTTTCGCCGAGCAGCCCGTCGAGGCTTGATCTGTGTAGATTTATTAAGTGCGAAGCACATAGGTCCTTTATTTTAGTAGGTACTTACCGCATTTTTGGCTGAGACATTATTTTGTCCTTGGGCTGCTGCACAAACGCAAAAATCAGTATAATATATTTTTTTACTTTCCTTTTCACGTGCCCGAATGACCTTATTATCGCTTAACCTGTCAGTGGAGAGTGATGCAGTTGGCGAGGTGGTTATTGGAGATGTCATTGCAACTTCTTGCTGACAAAGGAAGTTCGGTTTAACATAGCGACTCTGCACCAATAAGGGTACACGACATGTTTAGCTTCTTATCGACACATACAGCTTGGGGGTGACAGTAACCTGAACTGTCGTTCGCCTCTGTCTTGCTGTCAAATCCAACTGCGCATGGAATTTGCACGCAACAGAACACGCCCACTGAGTTAATCTGAAGTATTCAAACTCGTTTCACAAACCTCAGCAGCAAGTTTGTGAAGCGTTGTTAAATCGTTGTAAAACATGATTGATTGAGCGCCGATTCCAGGTTCCCGGAGAAGTGACTCCAAAACAGAAGGTACAGAGCTGAACGCGGGTATATAGCCCTCCGACCCGAAGGTTGCCGTAGGTAATGATGCATCGGTCGAAGGTACACCTGAAGCGATCTCACCGCCGGTGAATGATGGATTAGCACTGACAGCCTTCAGTGGAGATGCTCGTTGCTGTAGCTCTACTACCGGCATATGAGGCATTGAGGTTGCATGATGGGGGGACGGGGCTGGAAGTAAAGATTCTGTAGCATTCTGTTCTTGAAGTGGTTGACGTTTTCGAGCTGCTGCAGCTCCCTCACGCCTCTTTCGCACAAATAAATACTTAAGTATGCAATGGTGGCAGCTGAGCCACAGTAACGCAATTGTAGAACGTACCAGCATTTCCAACTCTTCGCGTTGCTCCTGCTCCCGTCGAGTCTTTTCCTGCTCCTGCTTAGCTAGTTTTTGTAAAACCTTTTCATGTACTTAAGTAATGGATATCTTCATGGCTTATCACTACAAATTACGTACCTGTTCTTGTAACTGGGCCGCATAGTCACGTTGCTGGTTTGCTTTCTCCTCCCGCTCCCAGGCCGATGCTCCGCTAAGAACTCTGGCCCCCGCAGGCATCCAAAATGATAGGGGGTGCAGTATGTATGAAGTGCCGTGGCAAGTATTTTTTAAAGTATTTGACGAGACGCATTGAAATTCGCAGAGTTCTATTAATAGTTCAACAATCGCAACCGTTCCGACTTCCTGGGTTAATTGTAGGGTGATGAGGTTTAAAGTCCTGAGGTTTTAACCCCTTGAACCCGAGAGCCTGGACCTTACAAGATAAGGCCAGTTTCTTAACGTGGACCATACAAGTTAAGAAACATTACATTTGTTTTTTGTAAAGGTCTTTACAAACTCCAACTCAAATAGGGGTAGGTGACGATTCCATGCTTTCCCGACATATACTACACACCAACATAGAAGATACAGATAGAAAGTGCGTGCAGATCAAACCAGCAAATTACATATGATTGTTTTTAGGTGGACGTCTCCCACCGCACAAATTTGCGGCTCACTTCTAGATTCCCCCTCTCGAGCAAAGAACCCCACATCCCCAAAATGGCATTCCGGGCGCGATGGCGTGAAATGAATAAGGATGGCTGGACCTCAAAGAAGCTATCAGGCCTTTCCGTCGACTTTATCTATTTAAAGCCTGGCAAGACGATCAAGGATGTCGAAGGATAGGACGTGCTTATTGGCGAGGAGGCCCTGATGAAGTACCTGGACAAGATCGACCTAAGTTGCTCTAAATATTCTGTTGGATGTCTTTGATCTGTACTGACTGTGCTAAGTGAGCAGTGGCTCTTCGAGCAAAGAAGCAGGCAAGACGTGATGGATCTGCGAATGCTGCCGGACGTCGAAGCGCTGCGAAAGCTGCCAAACCTGTGACAGCGAAGCGTACGTGTACTGTGGGCTGTATGATACACGTTTACATTTTGCTAATCGTGTATGTTGAAAGTTAGATTCGAATCCTTCTTCATCCGATGGCAGTCCCCCGTTACATTCACCCGCACCGGCTCAACGGCAACTTCTCGAGACCACCCCAGTTCGTCTATGTGCCGAAAGTCCGTCGCACAAGACCTCACCATCGCCTTCCGGTACACCACTGGATCTTGCTTCACGTCCACCAAAGAGCCCACTACAAGCTGATTTACCCAAGGCCACAGCTCTTTCTCCCAGCGGCAATAAAGAACATCCCATCGGAAGCCCAGGAGGTAATATCTGGTATGATACACGTTTGGACTGAACTAGTTTTGTATGTGGCGTCTTATTGTATTGAAGACTCTCCGATTAATCAAAGAAACTTGGATCCAGACTTTGAAGAAGCCGAATTGAGCAGCAATGCGTCGGATCATTCCGAAGCCGATAACCCACCTGGTGACCAAGTTGAGGAAGACAAAGAATTTAATCAGTCTACAAGCAGTGTGGGTCAACCGGGGAAAGCTGGGGAGGAAGAAGAACCGAAGGAAGACACGCGGCATAATGGTCTATCTGGTAACGTGTATGTACATGATATACAGGAATACTAACTTGTATCGTTGCAATATGCTGTATGTGAAGATGTGAATCAAATTGTAAACGACAATGACCTCATCATATTTGCAACATTTGAGTCAGACGCCGAAAACGATGATGGAGACGAAGACGATCTGTTTGTCGATGTCATTGATGATGACGTGGCACAAGAACCTGCGCCACCTGAAATGCAATTTGACGACGAATTACTCTCTGCCCTCGGTGGTGTGGATGGCATTGCATCGGGTGTAGTACCAGATGCGTATTTGAAGGAGCTCGGCGTTAATGGCTGGTCGGATTTGACGACGCATACACCCTATACGTATCTACAAGAGCCTTACGAGTCGCGTTCGCCTGAAGCATTGCGGCAGGACTACCCGCAACTGTACAATCGTGCGTCCGGACCTACCCCACCGGCCTTGGCCGCAGCTTCAACCCCTTCCGGAGAGCAGCTTGAAGTGGTCTACCCGCGCATTGTGAAGGACTATCAGACGCACATGGGTGGCGTCGATGTCCATGATCAGCTACGTCTACAACGGTAAGTCTGTTATGTTGTATGTGCAAGTTCAGAATGTCTAATCGTGTATGGTACATGGTACAGATACTCGTTGCAACTACGCATCAAATACAAGAGGTACTAAAAGGGTCTGTTCCTAGGCCTCGTTGATTTAGCGATTATCAACTTCAACATTGTCTTCAATGCTGCTTCAAGGATCGGGTAGTCCGCGGCTGTTCAGGGAGTACGGCCTTGTTCAGTGGCTGCAGGAACGGTAGATAGGAACACTTGTAAGATGAAATAGAAGTTTGTTTATTGGCTTCCTCTTGAGTAGAAGGAGGGAAATATAAGATTGAGAGCTAACTGAAAGAGGGATCTAACACCTTCTCGACCTTACATACACTACACTACTTCTTATACTAATAAGAAGAATTCACTTCGTTTCGCGTCAGTCCTCGTGGGACAACGGGGAGCTCTGGGAAGGGGCTTGATGACGCGAGGTGCTTTGGTACCACGACGCCAGGACACCGGCGTTCTAAGACCACCTTATAGGACCACCCTAACGGGCTCGGCCAGGGGCACATGCGTCGTCGGGTTCAACGGGAACCATCCTGACGGGACGGCTGGGCGAGGAGTAACGACGACTGCCTCGAGTCATCCCGTCGGGAGGCAGAGCTCCTGGAATGACCCTTCCGTTCCCGGGTACGGGACCATTCACATCACCAGGGTAGGAGTACCGTTCGTATTTGTAATGCATGTCTAACACAGTTTCAATATCTCAATTCACATCCGAGTACAAGCTCCTCTGCAATGCTACACTACAGAACCTAGCATCAACACGCGCAGACACCGCGTCTAGCAACTTTAAAATTTTCTTCCGGGCTTACAACACCCTCACGCATGAGCACGTACATCAATGCACTCCACACCAAGCTGCCGCACATTTGGAAGCCGCTGCATCAACGCCACACTCTAATAATTATCCTCCCTCCGAATTTAGTGACGACGATGGGTATTGATCCCGCTCCCCAGGACATTATGATCTGCGCTCAGCCATTGATCTACGCCGTCCGAATGGGTGAGATGAGAGGGGGGGGGGTCTGGCTCCTCTTGAGGTCTGCTAAGTTTGGCTTAAAAGAAGAAGACTGAGGTCGTGTGGCTTCCTGGGTCGACCGTTAAACTCACGGCTGTTTCTTATTCCCTGGCGCTAAAACATCATTGAGGTTTCAAAACTACTGGGTCTGGACTGGGATGTCACTTTCGTGAATAAGAGCTAAAATTATGAAAGCAAAGGCTCAATTTGCGTCGACAATTTTGGGTAGCATTAGGTTTTTTATCGCAGTATCATCAATTTTTAACGATGTTAATTGAAAAGGGTATCAATTTATTCCGAAGACATTTTCCTACATGTTCATATACGTGATATGTCTAGCAAACTTTGGGGCTTCATTAGACTGATCCGCGTACCGTATTCCTTATGTGATTGGCGACAGTCATATTCTTGAGGTGGTCCAGTCTTTCTGCC